GTCGTCATTGCTGCCTTCACATTGGGGGTAGTTTCAACCAGGTCCATATCATTTTATTGAAAAACGTTTCGTAAACAAGTTTTCATGAACACACCTTTCGTCGACACGATCGTTTCATGGACACTCGTCACGCGAATTGCACACTGTAGGGATATTTCGTCACGCGAGAAAAAACTCACCGGACTTTGAGCAAATGCGGAAAAAAGCTCACCGATTTTTTAAATGTTTTCTTAGCTTAGGGGTTTGAGCGTCACACATGGCAATTTAACACAATTAGAATCCGTCACTTCGTTAAAAATAATGGTCCTCTTTTTTTTTGTAATATTCTTGAAGTCCATCGGGCATATTTACTAATTCCTCAAAAATTAGTAATCCCCCATTTTGTATATTAATGACGCCGCAAGTATAAAATCAGAAGATCGTACACCGGTGAAAGAGACAACAATTTATTGACAGCTGAGAGTGCGCCGTCGGTAGCTCGATCTGTCCGATGAAGAGATTTGTTTGTTTTTTTCGCGAGCTAATATGAATAGCAGTGTGTGAACCGTTTCAACTCCGAAGATTGTGTCGTGCCTGATGGATAAGAAGGTGTTTGTTGATGTAATCAGTGCTGACTAAAGTTGTTTTCTTTCTGTTATTGTAATTAATAAAGCCTACATTACTATTCATTGGTTTGGAGAACGATATCAAAAAGCAACTTGAAACACTTTTAGTACTCCAAAGAAAAGCAATTCGGTTTATTGCATTCCGTGCTATAATGATCACACATCATACATTTATTTTAAGAAGTATAACTTATTCACTATCTAACAGTTAATATTTTTCACCTTTGCCAAAGCAGTCTTCCATTCTCTCAAAAACAATGCGGAGTCCTTTGTTACTCATTTCCCCTTAAGAGACACCCCCTACAACTTGAGACGCGTGAAATATGATAGAAGCCAAATACGTACTAATTATTGTGAACAAACTTTGAAGCAGCAATTAACAAAACTTTTAAATATGCGTTCAGAAATTCCAGATATATCAATAAAATCAAGATCAGCAGATACATTTTAAAAAGGAATAAGGGATCACGTTTTAGAGCATATACGAAATATTATGTAGAAATGCTGCCAGTCATTTCATTGTGTCAGAATGCACATATTCCATGTTATTTTGGTTTTGTTCTTGTGCTTCTTTTGTATATACACTGTGTGTTCCTTGCGGCGCCGATCTAAAACCATTATAGGGAACGGGACATGGGTCAGGTATTTTAATACACCTTTTGTTCCTGCCACCTCAAAATAAAATGGCAAATAAATACAAAAAAAAAACATTAGTTACGAGAACAGCTTTGTCCTTTCGTGCTTGTTGTCCTCACTGCGTCTTCGTCGTTTGAGCGGTTTTCATCAAGCATAACGTTTACCAACTGGCCCATTTCGCTACCTTTTAGAAGACTAGTTCTTAAATCTGCGACTTCGCGGCGACAGTATGCGGCTGTCCTTACAAAAATGTTAACTCACCTGACCGGCCCGTACACGCCACTTCGAGGCGACAGTTTCATGCAGATTATCACAGAAAAAGGCTAATCTGAGCTGTCGATGAAACGATTGGTCGATGAAACAATCTGTCGATGAAACATCGTGTGTCAATGAAACGATCTGTGGATGAAACGTTGTTCGATGAACTGATTGCCACGGGTTTCTACCGCCCACCGCAGCTCGGTGGGGCTCGTATAGCGCTTTACCTGCTTCCGATGAGGATCCGTGATCTCACCACGTGGGCCTCTTTGCTCCGGGATCAAATGGGAGGAATTTCCAAACTAGTAAAATCCGGAGGCCTCCAGGTTGCATGCTTACATGCTTGCAGGAACTAACGCAGAGCACGTTTCGCTCTTCGACTTCTCTGAAGAATATTCTCCTAATAAACGAGCGTGTCTTTTACGGCAAGCCAAACATATTTCAATCAGCGCACTGCAGTTACTGCGTACGAGTACATTGGCACACGGTTTCAATCACGATGGTGGGGACAGTTGAGGATTGTTCCGACAGTATAGTGAGCAGGCACGTAGCCAGAATTTAGTTCCGGGGGGGGGGGGGGGGGGGGGGGGCGCCCATGACGAAATGCTTTTTGAGGGAGAGGGGGGAGAGGAGGCCCCAGCAAAATGGAAGATTTCGGGGGGGGGGGGGGGGGGGGGGGGCCCCATGCCGCCCCCCCCCCCCCCCTGGCTACGTGCCTGATACTGAGACGGGTGGCGTGGTCGCGCCCCCCACGCGGCTAGAAATTAAATCTAACTGCTTTTAAGCGAGATCAAAGGCCATAAGGAATGCCTCTGTGGAGTCCGGTCGTGTCTCAGCACGCCAGTCACTATACATGGCTTGCACTGACGTCACAGCGCGTACTTTTGGACACCATGTAAGAGAGAGAGAGAGAGTGAGGGAAGCTGCTTTTGCAGGAATTTTGAGTGACGGGTTCATCTTCGGGGAGGGAAATAGCGACGTCCGGCCAAGTCGGGGAGACTCAAAATATGGTCTGGGTAGGAGGGGATCTCCTTCTTCCCCTCTTCTCTGGTGGCTATCAGAAAACACCGCCTAGTTCTAAAGCCGTAGCGCTTCCCTCTCTCCCTTCAAGGAGCGTCTGCGTGAGTAGGCTGAACTGGTAGTGCGCTTCTCCGCAAGGCTCCCCTTGACAGTTGGCTTCTTTGCAATGCACGTTCTCTTTTACTTTTTCTCTCACTCTACAACGGAGGCGCCGCCAACAAAACAAAATATATAAAAAAATGACGCCACGGCTTGTGTTTTTTTTTTTTTTTTGTCCCCACTTTATTGAAAGAAAACTACTCTCGTATAAAACATTTATCCTTCCAAAGTTAGAACATGCAAGCATAATTTGGAATCCACACCTAAATTACCTAATCTCGAGGCTCGAATCTTCAGGACAAAGCAGCCAGATTTATATGCAGTGATTGTTCATCCGAACCTAGCGTCTCCACTTTAAAAGCTAACATAAATCTTCCTCATCTAGAAAGAAGACAAAAAATAGCCCGATTGTGTTTTTTTTTTCAAGATGTATATTACTCAGATTCCGATATTCTAGCGACTTACTGCCGGGCTGCCAAATTTATATCATCCATATTAGATAATTCCGGCAAGATTGAACCATTTCAGTGCCATACTAACACTTTCCTATTTTCTTCCTTGGTACTTTGCACCACTAACTGGAAGAAACTACCTAACCATATTTTAATTGAACGATATCCCATTTAATTTAAAAACAAGTGCATCAATTTGTGTAACTCTGAATCTTGATTCGTAAAAGTGGGTCATAATAATAACATGCTAATAAATGTTTTTGTAAGATTTTTACGTGTTGGTGTCTATTTTTTATGTTCAATTACTTTTTTGTCTTTTATATTTTAATCTCTCTGATGTAATCCAAGACGATAACGTCTTTATGGTGAATAAAATGAAACGAAATGAATTCCTCTGCCTCATTTATTTGATTGTTACTGTAGTTCATTTTTCCTGGTCCCTCTACTTCGATGATTGCCTTTTCATAGGTATTTTTTTTTATATACAACTCCCTTGTCGTTCAGACATAATTGCACCACCCAGTTTATCGCTTAAAAAATAACGTATCTTTCTCAAGGTATCACATTCTTGTATTTCTCTACAGTAATTGTAGGTTAAAATAATTTTACCGCGTTCTAAGATTTGCTCTTTAAATCACTCGGCGTTCACAGCTCTCATGTTAGCTCATAAAAAAATTAATAGTGCGAAAACCCGCGTTTCCACGACGTAAAAGCTACGCGCGAAGCCTTCAGCTCAGCTCTATAGCGCGGCGCTCGTCAGCCTGCTGCCGTGACGTCACTGGAGGCGTGCTCTGGCCTTCTCCTCTATGTCGTGTTGCCGCGTCGCGTCGGAGCGGTCTTTGAATGACGTAACCTGCGAGCCATGCATACTCCGTTTCACACTACGACGGACTGCACTCGAGCCATCCCACCCAGTCAATCCAGCAGCGCAGCGCTTGTCACGTGATTACACTCCCCGCGGGTCACGTGACTCTCACAGGACATCGGACTGGTTCCGACGGATCGTAGGAGCCGCGCTGCGTTTCGTCGAAAGATGAAACGGCGTGAAAAAAACCCGACGCCGGAGGGGAACGGGACGCTGTACGCGGGCGGCCCGCTTCGCCTTCGCCCTCGGCCGCGTTGGTTCAAGGTTCGGGAGGAAATGAGAGAACAAAAACGTCTGAGAGCTCGTCTATGCCTTGGCGCTCGATGGAAGGGGTTGGCCAGCGACCGGATGTTCCCCCGCCGCCCAGAAGGGCAAACGGCAACGCGGAGCCGAAGTCTGTGAACGCGCTTGCACCGCTTGCACACTGTAATTTTTGTTATACATCTAGTGTGCATATGGTTTGTTTTGTACCCTAGTTATGCGGACACTCTTAATCGGAGTTAGGTGTGAACAAGGTCAGACTTAACGCCGGTTGAGCGGGCAGGACGAGGAACCGCAGTTGCGCTTTCTTATGGTTAGCAGTTAGTGTCACTATCTTACCCAATCACCCTTAACAACAGTGAATTTATTGGGTTACTACTTTCGTATTGAGGTATTAATATTATTATTATTAGTTACTATTTTCGAATTACTGTTCACAATTCGAATTGGCTATAATTAATTATAATACTATGTCCAAAATGTCTTAAACCAACATTTTATTACGAAGTGAGCAATTACAAAGGGCGTTTTCACAAAATTAAGCTACAAATTACTCCCTCGAAAATACAATGTGGAAATTAGACAATCACTTGAACAGACAGACGAGCCCAGGTCATGTGGCTGTGACGTCATAACCCTTCGGTCAATCAGGATTTTGTCATAACGGCATCTTTTTTTTTTTTTTTTTCCTGCAAGGCACCGACACGAGCTCCCGAACGCTATCGCGTAATTCGCGTCACGACGGCTTTTCTGGCACTCCACCGAGGCCGGCGCGCCACGAGCCCGACGAGTCCCTTAACGCGTTAAAGAAAAAGTAATAGATTGCAGTAGTCCGTTGCAACTCAAGGAAGCAGAAGAAACGCTGGAGTGAGGAGGAGGTTTCCCCCCTCTCCTCTCCTGCGTTCCGTCTGCTTCCTCCTCCCCGGCCTGCCTTTCCCCCGCTCTACCTTGCTGAGTTGCAACGGTCTAAAGTAATCCTTTACGTTTAAAGTACTCCTTCCCGAGTCTGTTGTACACAGTAACGCCTGAGCGATGTATTGAAGTGCAGTTTGTGTGTGCAGCATGTCCCGTAAAATCCACAACGATCTAAAAAAAGAAATTCTTTCGAGGAAGGCACGTACCGACAGGCGGTTGGAAACCGACACCCAGGGAACGACAGCGCGATAGCAGGCCAGCTTATCAAGTTCCCCTATGGACTCTCGACGATAGCGTCATTGGCACCAGTCTGTAGCGCCCGTCTGCGTTCGACCGCTCTGAAACAATAGAACAACGCCCACCGCGGAATAAGCTTCCCCGCCGACGCCACGGACGTCTTTCTGCCTCGACTTGAAAAGCAGAGAGCGCCGGTTCGTCGCTTTGAACGAGACATGGCCGGGGCGACGAGGAAGACGTTGCATTTGATCTGCGTGCTCGTTCTGGTGGCCTTCGGCGACGCCAGGTTACGGGACAGGAAGGTGCGTACTTTTATTCCATTTTTTTTTTTCCATTCGCCCGACCGGCGTTACGTGTAACGGTATTGAAAAAGGAACATTTCAATATATGATCGCTCTAATAAGGCAGATATAATACATCTATAACTTCTGATGTAATCTTTGCGCGTGGGCAATTGATCGCTTAACCTACAAATTAATTGATTCATGCTTTAATCGTGATTAATCTTTCTATAACCGGCTTATCGGTAACATGTTGACAAACCGAAAGAAAATGAAAATTAAAAGCTTTCACCATGCGGACATGGACGATTACACCTACATGACGGGCAAAGCTTTGGGCGAAACTTTGACCTAAAGTAAACTGTAAGGGCGAGATTTGTAACTCCAGACAAGGGGGGGGGGGGGGTGTAGAAGGTTTCACGTGTCCCGCGGCCACTTGAACGCCATGCGAGTGTTCGTTTAGAGCAGCAGAGGCTATTGCGAACAATCGGAAGGGGCCGCTAAGCCGGAGTTTATGAACGAACCTTTTTGCCTCATGCAGATAAAATAATAATCTGTGTGTGAGTTTCTTTGAGATGTTCTCAACTACGTATCAAAGCTTATTCATAATGGAAATTGAATATTGCGCAGTTTGTAACGCTATCAACAAAGAAAACAACAAGGAAAGAAAGGAAAAAATTCTATATACTGTATATATAAACTTTTTTTTTTGTGGGGTGGGGGGGGGGGGGGGGGGTTTCGGAGGGGGATTAAGATTGGAGAGGTCATGTAGAGTACGAGCAATGAAAACTAAAAAATGGTTTCTGTATTACCGCATTTTTGTCCTGCGCGAGTGGGGGCCCGTTTCATTATTGTCGGAACCCCAAAATAAACAATTTTTTTTTTTTTTTAAGTTGGTACACTTTTTTTTTTGTACTTAAGCCTCCAGATCTTTTTAACAATATCGCGCGAACACCGACCAGCCGGTAGATCAGCACCTTATCGCGACGTAAAACATCGTGTGTGGCAGAAGGTGTGCGCCATTCTGTGACACGCGCGTTGTCTCGCTGAGCTGCTCTTTCGCGGCGCCATAAGGCGCTGATCTACCGACCGGTCGGCGTTCGTGCGGTGTTGTTAAAAAGATCTGGAGACTGTACGCACTAAAAAACGAGTCGGTGAGTTTACTTTGCTGCAGAACACAAAGGCAGCCAATCATGGCACGGACAATAGAAGGATCTCAAGGAATGACAACTTGAAATACGCCATTAAAAGCGTATGGGGAGCGTCTTAGAATAGAGCACTCCAAAGCTTTGCGTACGCAAAGTATAGCGTCGTCGCCGCTGCGCATGCGCCGAACGCTAACCACGTTTCGCGACTTGCACGCGCTATTTTATTTTAGCGTACGTTATTCTTCGGAAATTGTTTGCGTACACAAAGAGTCTTTTCGATCCTCCGAGGGGGATTCGTGATGAGTTGGCAAAAACCAAGTCGAGCACAATTAAAAAATGGCGGCCCCCAGGACCATGTCTGCGGCCGCTTTGGCGGCGTCATGAGCCCGACATTGGCGGAATGCTCGCGACTGCGATTTTCACAACAGGTAGACATTTCACTCAGTTTGACCAGGATCACCATCGAGTTAATACTTGCGATGCGCAAACATTTTTCGGTGAAGGTATTCGCGACTCCAGCGACTTATAGGGGTGCCGCCACCAAAGAAACATGGCGGCTGGGAACAGGTCGCGCCGGCTCAGCCGGGCCGCCTGAACAGGTGTCGCATTCGATTTAGCAGGTTTTTTTTTAGAGGCGAAGCTCCTTAGAGTCTAGCCTTGTCCGTCAGTCCGTCCGTCCGTACGCCCGTGCTCACATAAAAAAAAAAAAAAAAATGTTTGCGCAGTCGACAGGATTCGAACCTGTGCGGGGAGACCCTAATGGATTTCTAGTGCTTCGCCTTAACCACCCAGCCGCGATTGCGGGACGAGTAGGGGTAGTAACTCAAGAGCTGGGGTTTCTGTCATGGATGAAACGTTGCATGTAGCCGCTCAACGTCTATACAGAAGAGGGCGCTGCGGTCAGATGCGTATATAATCGCGTTAAACTTTGCATGCATTGGCTCAACGTTTATATACGAGAGGGCGCTGCGGTCAAATGCTCAAATGCGTATATACCCACGTTCCATACCACACATTTTCTTTCTGACATGGACCATTGACTTAAAGGTGACAATGAAGGCAATTTCGGACATTTTTTGGGCAATTGAACTGAGTTCCAGGCACGTCTCGGGCCACGTTGCCCAAATTTCAGCCGAAACCGGTGCTTGTGTGCCGCGCAAATCAATTAAACAGTCGCGGTAATAATCGTACTGGGATCGACTGGGGAGACGCCCCGAGAGTTGCGGGAGAAGCCAGGAGAAGCGGAGCTCACGTGACCGTTGCTGGGCCAAGATTCGCGACGTCACAAGAGACGCGTCAGCGATTGGTCGAAACGAGAGACGTGCCCTCCGTCACGTTTTGGTTTGCGATTTTTAGAAATACTGTTCTAATTTCCGCTTGAATAACCATGAAACGTTTAAATCGGACCGGAAATGAATACTAAACCGGAAATAGAGCAGCATAATTTTTTTTTTCTTTGCTACGCTAGACGTGAAACGGCCACTGAACGGAAGCTCGAACTCGCTCGCGAGAGCGTCATTCCCGTCCATGTTGACAAATTCGACGAAGCGACCGCGCCACCGCGCTGCTATAACCTACCGCGGTAACCAGAGTCTCGATCTCCTAAATACTACCGATACCGACTATTCACACTTGACGTCACTCTCTACGTCACCTCCGTTTTCGGAGGGCCAGAAACGAGAATGGAGATTGTTCAGTTTCGGTTTCTTCTTTTGTAGGCACAGAAATACGTGTCACAAATGTCTACAAAAAATTGCGCAGCATGCTAGGTTCCCAGGAAGCGTAAAAACACCATAAAAAAAATTAAATAAAATCGTCTTAATTGCCTTTAAGCGGTGGAGATGCGTTCCCACGGCTTCTAGCGGATCCAAGCTGATCCGCTAGAAGAACCACTGGTTCTGCATTCACCGATCATAAAGCAGTAATAATGAAGTCGAAACGCAATCTGGAATGCAGCACTGCCTTTGAGCAATAAAAAAAAAATCAGCACCATCAGCACTACCTATGAACAATAAAATCAGTTTCATGAGCACCACCAGAGCTTCACCCCAATCAACATCATTCACCACGTGGAGATGCGGTCATTTCTTGTTTAATGCCCTATTTTATGGGTATTTAAACTGTGACGGTTAAGTGTAGCCGGTGCACAGAAACTTGGAAAGCATATAGTTTTGTTTTCCCGGTGTTTTTTGTTCTTTTCATGTCAAACTTTTGCTTCAGAGATTTCGTTCAAAACCGAAACTATGGGCTCCGGAGAGACGGTAATAGACTCTAATCAGTTTTGATCAGCTAAGGAAAGCGGCGATGAATACGTAATTGTTCCATCGAGAGTAATTTTCAGATAAGCATGTCTTGACCATGCGACCTATCTGTCCGCAAAATGGAGCAAGCGTCTACCTTTTTTGAGGTTTCCACGGCCAGCGGGCACGGAGAGAGTAACTAAATATCAGTGGCGTCCTATTTTAACCGGACTACGCCGAAACCGCCTCCACCTACGGGGGCACCCGCGGTGCCGAAATCGCACGAAATGTGACGTCTTTGGTCCTGGGCTTACTACTGGTCAGAGCCGCTAAAAGCTTCTTTTTAGTAGAAATACAAAATATAACTGGCGCGAGCCGTTTCAGTTATGTATGAAAGTAGTTTTTGTTCAGTATTTTAGATCAGAAAAGAAACAAATGCAGTTTATAAAGTACGGAAACAAGAAATGTCCCGTCGACATACCCACCACTAGGCGGTGGAAAAGCCGCCGCATACGAGAAAGGTGTAGTGGGATAAGACACCGACAAGCGGCGAGCGTAGAAAGGTCCCCGATGTACGTGACGGCGCTGCTGTCGAGGATCAGATCGGTTCCGGGCGTTCCGAAGGCCTTCGGCGAGCAGCTTTGGTTTGCGGTTTGGCACTTTTGCGGTATGGCAGCGCGAAGTGGCTCCAGTTCTGAATTGATCTTTACCCCGTGTGTGCTGTTGTTGGTGGCCAATGAAGTGTAATGCCGAATTAGTGTCTAATCGCGCAGCCAATGAAATGCGAGCCGCCCTGGCTGCCCGCTTCATACAGCCTAGCCAGCTAGCCAGCTAGAACATGCTTTAATGGCGCCCTCTCGAGCCGTCGACACGAAGTGCGGCAGACGTGAGAAGCCTTTGAGCTCACTACCCCTCCTCTAGTTCACGGCCACTCAAGCAACCAGGGACGTCATGATGGAGGTTATTTTTTGCTTGCTTTTGTAATTTTAATTTGCCTATAACTTTTAAAATTAAGCGAAATTCGAGAAGAGAAAAGTTTTATTAAGTTACTACGGTCAGAGCGCTCAGGTTCGGTGCAAATTAAAAACCAGTAAAAAAAGTCCTTACAGGGCCCCTTTAAGAAACAGCTCCAGTAGTCTACTCGGTCAACAACAAAGGCTGCAGGAAAATTATGAAAATTAAGCAAGCGCTTCTTGAGCGAAGGAGCATGTTAACCCGCTGACGCCCCACTTAGCAGCTGGAACTCGTATTTCGATTCAGGTTTTCGTAGCAATCAGAAGTAATTTTGACGAATACGCGGGTTATCTGTTATATAACGTACTATGTCCCACTAAAACGATATTGTACATTCTTCGGGTTGAAATATGAGCTTAGTTGACTACCTACTAGGTGAACTGCTGATTAAAAGTATATTTGACAGACAGAGAGATATTACTTAAACTCAGCCAAATGGTTCTAGCCAGCAGCGCGGAGACGAATGCGGGCAAACTGAAGTTAGTCTTCATCGGAGATACACGCAGGACGTATCTGGCATTGAACTTGACTAAATCATGAACGGAAAAAAGGTGTATGCAAAAAAGGGTGTGCGCAGGCAGTATCCCGCTTGCGAGCACACCCTCGCTTTGTCTGCTAA